TGATTCTTGCCCACGACGTTTCCCACGTTCTTGAACAGTTGGTGGCCACGTGTCGGCGGTTTATGAAACGGTTTCTGAATGTTTGAAAATTGTCTTGCGTGCGAGACAGTCAACTCTGTCCCGCATGGCGAGACAGCAAAGTTTGTCTCGCTCGGCGAGACAGCAAAGTCTGTCTCGCTCGGCGAGACAACGAGCTTCGACTCTTGATCTCTTCATCCATTAGTCTATTCAATTCTTTGTAGAATAGCTAATACTTCTCCGGCACTGCGTTTATCGCTCGACCGTTGTTGAGATCTCGAATTGAAGTTGGTATTTCCAGATTGATGCTCGTTTGTCTCTCGAAAGTTCGTCAGGTTATCCTTAAGAATATTCAGATTAATATTCTCCAGAAACTTCCTGTGTTCTTCTGTCTTTTTGGATGATTTCCTCTTGAGCTGTATTTGGATATCTTTCAGCATTTTTTGACGCCTACAGATACCCCCTCCAAAGTGTTCCAGACGTATTATTTTATAGAGGAGTCTGGGGCACTTTGGATAAGACAGGCTTTATTTGCAATCCCTTCCATACTTGATTGAGTAGATCGTACGGAAGGACCCGTACATGGCTTCAAATCTTGACATCTTCATCTTTTGGTCTATCCAGTGCTTTGTAGAATAGACAAAATTTTTCCGGTGCTACGTTTATCGCTTGACCGTTGTCGAAGTCTTGACTTAGAGTTTGTACTTGTGAATTCAGCTTTTGTCATCAAATTGATACCGCATTGTTAATCACTGTATCAGTCTTCATAGGAACACAGTTTATACTCATGTATTTTGAGTTCTCGGGAAATAGTTTAACCTCGTATACCCGTTGGGAGGTAGCCAGGTTATTCTTAAGAATATTCTGAGTAATATTCTCCAGAAACTTCCTGTTGATGGTAGGGAAACAGTTTAGACTCGTGTACCTATTGGAGTAGTATGGTCTCTTTTTTGTTGGTAGAGATGAACCCGCTGATGGAGAGGAAGAATTTTATATTCTATCTCCTGGTCTCTTTTTTGGAAGAATTTTATATTCTATTTCCTGGTCTCTTGTTTGTTGGTAGAGATAAACCCGGAATTGGAGAGGAAGAATTTTATATTCTATCTCCTGGTCTCTTGTTTGTTGGTAGAGATAAACCCGGAATTGGAGAGGAAGAATTTTATATTCTATCTCCTGTTACAAATGAAATTTGAAGTGGGATTTCTATTCAGAGAATCTGAATAAGGTTTGATCAATTGAGATTGGAAGCAATCCTAACTTTTATAGATTTGATTGTGCAACTCGAAGGTGGACCTCTTGTTCATGGAAGGAATCAAGAGGGGATTTTTGGCTTTGGTCCTAACTGTTTAAAGGTTTGACCAAGGTGGGAATTTAAGACGATCCTAACTGTTTA